ACTCTTTTGAAGTCTACATCTATGTGTTATGTGTCTTTGTTTTGCCAAATCCCCTAGTAGAGTTAATAGCAAAGAATAGCTACTCAATATACCCTTAAAATAATATTAACCCAGGTGGTACTCTTTGATAGTATTTACACCATATATTCATTTTATAGTTGAACAAATTGATATCTTGGGAGGCAAAATAATCCAAGTGATTAATACTGAATATAAAACAGATACCTTGCTTGTACATAGAACAAAAATACTTGGGTTTAGATGTTTAGATAGCCTGTCTGAACACACAGGACAATGGATACCTGTGGGATGTAGGTGTGCATATCATGTTGCACTTTAATTGTGAGCAGGTGGTGCAAGGGGGACATGAAGATAAATGTCGGGCCTCCAAGAAAATTTATTCTAAGAGTTTACCCTTAGTCCTATAAGTGCTCCTGAAAACTCTCACTCTGCCCCTTGAGGCTTCCCACAACTCATGCATTTCCCAGGTATTAGCAAAGTATAGTGACAGATGCTGAGAAACCATCTGTGTAAATTGCCATCTTGGCCGACCAGGTGTCTTTTCTTCCCCCCTCCCCCCTCTCCAAGATGAAGTCTTGCTCTGTTGCCCAGGCTGGAGTGTAGTGGTGCAATCTCGGCTTACCGCAACCTCCCCCTCCCAGGCAATTCTCCTGCCTCAGCCTCCTGAGTAACTGGGATTACAGGTGCACACCACCATGGCCAGCTAATTTTTGTATTTTCAGTAGAGACAGGGTTTCACCATGTTGACCAGGATGGTCCTGCATTCCTAACCTTGTGATCTGCCCACCTCAGCCTCCCAAAGTGCTGGGATTATAGGTGTGAGCCACCGCGCCCGGCTGGCATCTGACTTTTAAACTCATTTTGTTTGATAACATTTATAGTAGTTTAGGCCTTAAGGGGACTTCCAAGGCATTAGTTTCATATGCCCTTCTTTTCAGATGGAGAAAAAGAGGCCAAAGGAGGCAGTCACTTGATACAAATAAACGGCCAGTAAGTGGTGTGGTCCAGATCCTAAAGGGACTCCCAGATCCAAATGCTTTTACTGTTATCCCTCTGTATTCATGGGGGATTGGCACCAGGATCCCCAGTGTTGCCAAAATCTAAGGATACTTTAGTTCTTTATATAAAATGGCATAGTATTTGCATTTAATCTATGCACATCCTCCTGTATACTTTAAGTAATCTCTAGATTACTTATAATAGCTAATACAGTGTAAATGCTATGTAAGTAGTTGTTATACTATATTTTAAAAATTTGTGTTATTTTTGTATTGTTCTTTTAACATTTTTTTGAATATTTTTTCATACATGGTTGGTTGAATTAACAAATGTGGAATCCATACATAGAGAGAGCCAACTGTATATTGTTAGAAATGTCACCAGAGGCAGAAACAAAAAAGGGACTATAGATATGCATTCCAGGAACTGACTTGCTCCTTGTCTTCTAGAAGTTTGCTCACCCTCAGCCTTCCACAAAGGCAGAAAATCTTTGGCTTCTAGCACTCTGACTCCCCCAAACCTACTAATAAAGCCATGAGGATCCTGAACATGGGGACTTCCTTAGTCCAGCCCCAGGGCCTCTTTAGCTAAATCCACTGCCACCAGAAATGTGATGGCTGGACTCTTTCCCAATTTTCTCCACTCTCAGCTACCTTTGATGAAGGGGGCTTCATTCTGTAAAGATTAGCATAGCTTGCTACTGGAGGTTTTCCTGTTGCCGTATTCACAAAAAATTGTATTGGCAAGATTGACAATTTTCTAAAATGCTCAAATTTATCTGACCTTACAAATAACATCCACTGGAAAATTATCAGACATCTGTGAGAGTCATTTTGGGTTGAATTAAATTTTTGATGTGCTGTGAAATTGGGTCAGTGCATTAGAATTACATTTTAATAGTTACGAATGCACTCATAAAATGTTGTTCTTCTGTGCAAATTGGCAACACTCCCAGACTTGAGGAAGCTTTGAAGAGATGAATTTCAAAATTCCTGATTAGCAAATATGTGCAAGAAGTCAAAAAAGACACATCAAGAATTTGTTAATAATGTACACAATCATTCTAGATTTATCTTACTATTATGATCTTAAATGGGGTATTTGCACTGAAAAAGGCAACATTATTCAACGCTTTGTGTAGAAAGCAGGAAATTTATAAAAGGAGAAGCTGATCTTTCTCCTTAGAGTTTGTGGTTCCTGTGAAGTCATTGTACTTAGTCAACTGTTTTCTGGATTGCTTAACAGAGTAAAAATAGGACAAAGCAATGAAAGTTGTGGAGACTCAGATTTCCACTGTATGTTATAAAGAACTTCTTAACAACACACTGCCTTGTGAGGGAAAAAATTGCAGCTCATGCAGAATGGCTAAGCAGAAGGTGGACAACTATCTTTCAGGGATATTATAGAGGAGGAGGTTCCAATCTTTTGGCTTCCCTGGGCCACATTGGAAAAATAAGAATTGTCTTGGGCCACACATAAAATACATTAACACTAATGCCAGCACATAAAATACACTAACATTAGCACATAAAATACACTAACACTAACGCTAGCTGATGAGCAAAAATTGTAAAAAAGATTTCATACTGTTTTAAGAAAGTTTATGAATTTATGTTGGCCCACATTCAAAGTTGTCCTGGGTCGCAGGCAGCCCACAGACGGTGGGTTGGACAAGTGTCTCATAGAAGATACCGCATAATATTGGATGAGAAGTGGACTCAGTGACTCTCAAGACCCTTTTGAATTTTAAGAGTGGGCTGGCGTAGTCTAAAAAATAGAGCCAAAAGGTTCCTAGGTTGCCTGGTGGAATCACTGACAAGTAATAAGTCTCAGAAATGAATTTTCACCTAACCGAATTTATAAGTTAGTAGTACTAAACTTACCTTTCTGGAACCCACATAGAAACTAAGGGACAGACAGCTTTGGATGCAAAACTAACTCAAGTGGAGCTGGAGGAACCTGGCAGGTTACACAAACTTAAACTCCTTGCAGGGCCAGCAGGTCCTCTGAAGCCAGGTGTAAGACAGGAGTGTAGTGGATGTTGAGGACCAGCTTCAGAACACGTTCAAAACGTAAAGCATTTTTGATTTCCTTTCTTATCAAATCATTGCCATCAACCCTAATCCCTTACATTAGGAACACATAGGAGATAAACAAGAGAACTCTGGAGCAAATGGCCAAGACCGCATAAGAAATCTTTGTTGGGGTCCAACCATGACCCATCCCCAGTGAATGTTAGCACAGTAGAGTGTAGAGTTTTCTTCAGTTTCTAAAAGCTTACACAAGGCAAAGGTGAATGTTCACCTCGGTGCCCTTCAATTTCATCACATCCTGCATTCACATCATGTGTCTTTTCCACACTCCTCTTCCTTACCCCTGCCCCTGAGTTCTTCCCCACCCCTGCCCCTGAGTTCTTCCCCGTGATGCCTGACTTCACCAGTGCCTCACATGCAGGACCTATTCTTCTGCCTCCTCTGAATCAACATTTACCTAAGTTATTACTCATCCCTCTAGTCCCTCTACATATGTTATGGAGTAAAATAATGGCAAGATTTAAAGACAAACAGAAACATACTCTGGGCGCCTCTTCCCAGATATTTGCATAGTAGTCAAGTTTTCTAATAACTGAAAAACCATTTCATTAAATACTGCTTCCATAATTGTAAATTCCATGCAGGTAATCAGCAGTTAAGGGTAAATTTTTTTTTTTTTGAGACAGAGTCTTGCTCTGTTGCCTAGGTTCGAGTGTAGTGGCGCGATCTCCCAGGTTCATGCCATTCTCCTGCCTCAGCCTCCTGAGTAGCTGGGACTACAGGCGCCTGCCACCACACTCGGCTAATTTTTTTGTATGTTTAGTAGAGATGGGGTTTCACCGTGTTAGCCAGGATGGTCTCGATCTCCTGACTTCGTGATCTGCCCGCCTTGGCCTCCCAAAGTGCTGAGATTACAGGTGTGAGCCACTGCGCCTGGCCAGGGCAATTGTTTAAGGTATTCTTCAGTTGTGCATCCCCCATCCCACCAGGTAGGTCAGCCCCTCTACTTCTGTGCATAAACCTGGAAATGATGCAATGGAGATGATTTTAAAATCCCTTACTACAATCTGTACTCATTCGAAATTTAACCAGTTTCTTCTGTGGAGGAGCTATTGTACTCTTCAACAAGCAGCATTACTGATCTATGGATAACATTATTATACTAAAGCACTTTATTTTTTTTCTAAAAGTTTATGCATTTATGGCCTCTGAGGTTAAGCCTATTATTTTTCCTTCATTGAGTATGATTTTGCTATATTTTTAAAGGAATTCATTTAAGTGTTATTTGACATTTAGACTGAAATGAATTTTCAGTTTGTTTGGAAGAAATACTTTTAAAAAGTTAAGAAGTCAGAAGTCTACAAGTCAATGGAAATAAAATATGAAAACAAGGACTTGGTTTTAAGAAGTTATAATCACAACTGCTAAAATTAAATCAACTTTCTAGAACCTTCTGAAAACAAACATATATGCAAATACTGTAAAATATATGGATTTATACCACAAAAACCCAAACACAGGGAACCTATGGTAGCCATTTTTTCTGTCAAAAGCCAAGGCAAAACTGGTCTAATTTGCTTCCATTGAACCAAAGTTGTGAAATAGAATAGGGATGATCAAAGCATCCATTTTCTCAAACTTTCTCTTACACCAAACCTTTTAGCCAAACTGCTAGAGAAGATTAAAACCGAAGTTTCATCCTCTTTTTCCCTTTGTCTAATCAGTGCTTGGGAGAGAAAATAACATAGGTAGGATTCCTTGGTTTGCTGCGTAATCGAGACTCTCAGCTAAAAACAAAAACTTTTGTAGTATTTATAGAGGATGACAACTCCAGTTTTGAAATCTAGAAGGCAGTGATTAAAAGAATTTGTTTTTCTCCTCTCCTCTCAAGAATGTATCGTACTTGCATTAAGAAGGAAAATGAAGCTCGGTGTCTAACATGCTCACCCTAAAAAGTACCTCTCAGTCAGGTGGGTGCAGGGTTCTGGGAAGTCTTCACATGCCTCCTCCACCGCAGAGAGCTCCTCGCTCTTCAGAAGAAGGGACCACTCTCCTTGGGCAGGGAAGACCCTTCTCCTACAGCTGGAAAATGGACCGGAAGCAGCTTGGAGCTGACTTTCTTTGCGCCGCCTGCCAAAGGCTCCTCAGTAGCATTGCGAGAATCCAGTGCCCAGATTCAGGGCTGGTTGAAGTTACAGTTTTTTTCCATCTCCGCTTTGAAAAGACAGAAAATGACCGAGATGAAAATACCAATGACAGCCATTAAATAAAAGATAATAAAAATGGCCAAAGCAAGCATGAGATCCACAATGAAAATAATCAGTTTTGCCAACATGTTGGCATTTCTTCTCGTTCACAGAATGTATTTCAAAAGTCCCAAAGGCACCTACCATGTGATTATGTCTTTGTAAAATGTGGGCAGGAATAAGGGCATTTCTAAACATGCTGAAGAGTGTTGTAATTCTTCTAAGTATCTACCAGGAAGGCTAGTTTAATGAAAGTTTTGATTTCCCAACTGGTACAAAACAGTGGCTAAAGGTAAAGTGTGGAATATTGCTTCACTGTGGGGACTCTAATGGGGAGAAGTTCAAGAATTTATTTCATCCTGTAACTGTGTAATTACTGATTTTAATTTCCACAGAGTATAGACACCCTAATGTGCATTTATAGCATAAAAGGCTATTATAGATATCTGATGTTTCTTAGAAAATTAAAATGTGCCAGTCCAGTGTAAAGGGAAAATAAAGCCATTTTCAAACATGCAAAGCTTCAGAAAGTTTATTTCTTTTGTGTATTTTTTTTAAAGTTACTAGAGAATATAATTCAATAAATTATTTTGCTTGCTGAAAGAGAAATACTTGGCATGTAAGAAACTGCAAATTTAGCCAATAGAGCAATGAAATTAAATCCCAGAATCATAGCTCAGCAGCAGACATACAAGGCAATAAATTCAAATTAGGAAAGGAACTTAGTGAGCTACCAGAGATAGTCTTTAAGAAGACAGTCACTTTCGTATGTTAAGTGGTATGATGAAAAAGCATGATGATCTAAAAATAAAATGGTCAGTATATATCTTAGTTAACGAGGTAAATGAAAGGTAAGAAGAGAATTCAAGAAAAACCACAACGTTGAATAATGAGCCATGATCCTCATATGAAACAAACTAAACTGAAGCACAATTCTGAGAAATTGATAGAATACAGGAAATGAGACTTTATTTGTCCTTAATATTCAGAATGTTTCTTCTTTAAGTAGCACAGATTGAGAGTGGGAGATTGTACTTCCAAAGGGTTCAGTCACACTGCTTGATTGTACAATGAAATTGCCAAACTCATAATATTTCAAATACTGTCACATGTTTTACATTTCTAGAGACCTAAAACAAGACAAGAAAATTAAACTTATTAAAGTCATAGAACAAAATAAAAAGGTTATGAACTTTAACAATTTAAAAGTAATGATATAGCTTGACAAAAGTTGGGAGACATGGTGGGAGAGGTGGAGAGAAGTGAGGGAATATTAGTTTCCACACCTTGCATAGCTGGAGTTCAAAGGATATTGTCTCATACTAGTGTAAGAAAAGAAGAGTAGGTATAGTTTTCAAAATAATAAAGAAGACTGATGGGAGATCTAAAACTACATATTTAATGAGATTTGTAAGATAGAATGCGTAGCACAAGATGTTGAATTCTTCATCTTTTTGGCAGGAAATTAGCAAATACTGTTTAAAACTGCTAAACAAAAAATTTGATTTATTGAGCATATTATCTAGATCTTTACTGTCCAGTATGATAGCCACTAGCTACATGTGGCCATTGAACACTTGAAATGTAGCTAATCTGAATTAATATGTGCTATAAGTATAAATACAGTTAAGATAAAACATAAAATTTAAAATATTCATTTTTAAATTTGACTATGTTGACTATATGTGAAATAATAAAATTGTGGATAAATGAGATTACATAAAATGTATCATTAACATTATTTTCACCTGTTTCTTTTTACTTTTTAAAATATGGCTACTAGACAGATTAAACGTGGTTCACACTATGCTTCTATTGAACAGCAGTGATTTAGAATTTCCAAGCTAATCATCACAAGAACCAAAACCAAAAAATGTTAAACATAGTCCTCTTTGCAAAGTAGGACAGTTGTAGGGATAGAGAAAGACTTTATATTTTTACTTTGTGCTCTTTTGCATAGCCTGAATTTTTATTATCAAGTCCATGCATTTATTGACTGAAATAAATAAAATATAATGTATAATGAATAAAAATTATAATACATTTTTAAAGAGTGTATTAACGGGGTGAACTGAAAGCCAAAATCAAACAAATGAAATAAGAAGAGTAATTTAGACAAAATGTAAAAACAACACACCTATAGGAAAAGAACAAAAGGGAAGTGTAGATAATTATAATTATATTTTAGATACGAAATGTATTATAATCTATGTTTTAGATATTAAATTTAGATTTTAAAATGTATTATAGTAATCAATAGTGCATTTTTTAAAACTTACGATCCAGTTTTAGAAATCACTGGGTAGTTTTCTACATATTGGATTAAATAATAATTTTTAATAGCCAGTAGAAGATGGCAATGTAATGATTAATACAGTGTACTTAGCTTTATGCTTAAGTAATACACACATGCTCCAATTTAACAAAGAGATAAATTTGGCAGTAATCATTCTCACTAAGGAAGCTTGTCCTCAACTAAAAGAACCAATGAAGAATTTCAGAATTGAACACCCTCAAGTATTATCTCGGCTTCCACTCCCTAATTTCGCAGAACTGCTAGAGAAGTAACAAAGGCAGGGAAAGGATCTAGATTTTTCTAATTGCAATTTTTAAAGATAGAATGAAAGTAAATTCACATGCAACATGTACTAAAATCAAATGTAGAGTCAACATTTCTCAGGAACATCAAGTAAAACTAAATAAATATTACTATTAATTGGGAAAAATACTGAGTTCAGTCTTTCATAATGAAGAGCAAATTTTTAGAGGTCACTGGGGAGAAAACTCTGTTCCTTTAAGAATTTGTTCCATCAAAAATGCCAGTAAAGTTGTGAGAGGAGCAGACAGAAATGTAACATCCATATGAATCAACTGTCCTTTTGAATATTTGTTTTTAAATTTGCTCCACTGTGTGATTTTAAAAAGAGAGGAATATATCCCACTTTCACTTTCAGTTGTCTTAATTTCCCTTTAGATCATCCTTCCTTTGGCCAAAACTTTGTTTTCTACTGATACTTGCATACGATGGCCTATGCTAGTAGGTTAAATATCCTCAGCCTTTAAGGTATCTGACGGTGAATTTTAATTAAAAATAACTTCTTTTAAAGAATAGATTTTGAAAGAAAAGATAGAAAAAGATGAAAAGATAGGAAAAGAGAAAAGGGGAATTGAGGCATTAAGAAACATCATGAAATTCAAGGCCAGGCCCGGTGTCGGAAGCCTGTAATCCCAGCACTTTGGGATGCCAAAGCTAGAGAACTGCTTGAGTCCAGTTTGAGACCAGCCTGGGAAACATAGTGAGATCCTGGTCTTTATAAAAAATAAAAAAATAAGCCAGGCATGGTGGCTTATGCTTGTAGTCCCAGCTACTTGGGAGGCTGAGGTGGGAAGATCACTGGAGTCCCCACTGCACTCCATCCTGGGAGACAGAGGGAGGCTCTGACTGAAAAAAAAAAAAGAAAATAAAAGAAAGAAAAAAAGAAAAGAAAACGATACAGGAAGAGTTGGGCTCAGAGAAGATTATAGCAAACTTCACCTCCTCTACAGATTTGGAACTCCAGGTGCCTGGCTAGTGTGAGACCACGAGGGCATGAATTGGAATTGTGGCTTTTAATGTCCTTCCACATAAAAACTGGTGTGATTTCAATTGTAGGTTGATTTGTGGCTCAAGACTAAAAGGATCACAGAAATTCTTTTCATCAAGTTCAAGAACTTTGGGTTCTTATCATAAAACAGATTTAAGAAAAAGTTTTTAGATCTAGGACTAAGTATGGTAGAGAACAGTGCTTTAAGATATAAAGAGGTTTGCTGACATGTATTTTATTGATGGATGAGTTTTTTCTGAATATAAATCAGATCTTATTTTTAACTGCCAAAAATCACGTTTAACTTGTCACCCTAAAGAGCTCCCAAAATATACTTCCAATTATTTAAAATGCATTTTAAACCAGTAGCAATGAAGGCTGCAGTCCATTTAAAACTACTGCAGTTGACTATTGCAGTTAAATCACCCATTTAATATCTCTTACTTTTCAGATCATCAAATCCCATAAGACTTACTATAAATCTTTTCACTTCCACCCCAAAATGATTTCGGCAGATACATTGTGAATTAAATGATGCTGTAACTTGATTTATGTACATCTGGACTTTCAACCCAATGGCTTCCCAGAACTCAATCAATCTTTATGAAGTCCTGGTAATGTACTCGAAAAGGACTGCAATGCAGTGAGTTATAAATGAAGCCTGGATTTTTGCCAATGTTACTAAATAAGGAGCTGTGTGACCTGGCCCGTGCTTTATAGCTGCTGATGGAGAAGCACTTCCACTTTGGGCTCAGCAGCTCCCTGGACTATGTTTCCTGCCCTCTCAAGTCAACTACCATGCCCTGAAATGACTTTTTATTTTTTTCACTGTGCCACTGCTGAGAAAGGTTGAGAAGAGTTTCAATGCTTAGACTCCTTGAATTTTTATTTTATAGAGTTAGTTGAAATTTCTACAGCTTGCTTGTATTTTCACCCTATTAATTTATTCAGATAGGAGCCTCCTTATGCCTAATATAATGTAATTCAGTAAGTCTGATCATTGTATTTTCATTCCTAATATTAGGGGACTCTCCATTCTTATAAAGGATTAAGACATTCTTATAAAGGATTAAGACTTCCCCATTGACATCAGGCTTGGCCACATGACTTGCTTTGGCCAATGAAATGTGGTCAGAAATGTCAGAAGCCAGTTCTGAGCCAAAGCTCTAAGAACCACTCTGTGGTTTCACATCATTTTCTTCTCACAGTCAGTGGCCCGATAGGTCCCAGGTAGGGGCTGCTCATTCAGCCTGCGTGGGTTCCAGATACAAGAGCCTAAGTCAATCTATGATTGACATGTAAAA